CACAATTTCCGTGGAGGTAGATGCTTCTCAGCTCCCCCCAGCCTGCTGGACCAGCCAGGACTTGGTGGCTTTGTGGAAGGCCAGGAGGGTGGTAAGGGTCCGGATCTCAACAGGGAGCTCGTTCCAGAGGGCCGGAGCTGCAACAGAGAAGGCTCTCCACCGGGGAGTCGCCAGCCGACATTGGCTGGCAGATGGAATCCGGAGACCTAACCTGTGCGATCTAATTGGTCTGAGAGAGGTAATCGGCAGGAGGCGGTCTCTCAGGTACCCAGGTCCGATGCCATGTACCACTTTGCATGAACGGTTCATGAATAATTCAGAATGTAATTTGGAGTCTAGAACTTGTAGTGCTGAATCTTCATATATAGGTTCCATCCAGGACATTTCATTGCCACTCTTCAAATCTTTGAAACCATTCTTGCAAGAAACCATAATTGTCCACACCAGAGCTGACCAATGGGGGAAACAAAAATTGGCCTCCAAACCCTACTTCCCTTCCTTGTCTGTTAATTTATACTTACTGATGAAAAAAACAGATGACTGCAATTCCTTCAGAGAATGAGGAAACGGCCTGCCCCCAATAGACACCATGAAGTTCCAAGGGTCTCAAAAGGCCAAACAGTAGCTTTCTGACTTGAGACAGGACACTGAGGTGCCACAACTCTACTAGTTCTTCTCCTCTGGGTAGCTAGGAAGCAGTAGGTGCAGAGGTGGGCGTCACATAATGTAACAACTGGTTCACCTAGAAACGAAAATGTGAGCCTGCATGTGCGCAAGCTCATTTCACTCATGTGCATGCCTTCCACGCATGCACGTGGCATCAAATGCCAATTATATAGTATGGGATAGAGCCAGGGTGGGTGAGCGGGCCCAGCTACTCGTCGGAACTATCAGTTTGCCCAAACTGGTCTGAACCGGCAACAGCCCACTTCTGAGTGGGTGTGGCTTCACTAACTACAGCCAATCAATGTTGGGAAAGTCTTTTGCATAGGTAAATTTAAATCTTGATTTTGGTGTTGCTTTATTTACTCCGCAATTTTCTGGAAGAACCAAGAAGGCAAAGTTATTGGCTCCATTCACTTCTTCCCATAATATGGTTGAGAGTTCTATTCGGGGTTGCTAATTTCAGGCACTTAAAACTTAATTACCTTGAATTATCTTAGAAGACAATTATTGTCTTAAAAAGAGGATAGTTGTGTGTGCTTGACTGCATTGCATAAAATATGATGATGGCTAATTCACCCCAGGGCTTAGAAAAAATAATCATTGCAGGTAAGGCAATGATTATTGGTCATAATGCCTCTATATTCCTTGCCAGTTCTGAATACCAGTTGCTAAGGAACTTGGCATGGAAAGAGCTGTTGCATTTGTGCCCTACTGCGGGTTTCCTGTAGACATCTGTTGGATGCTGTGGGAACCCCCTTTGTTAGTTTATCTTGAGTGTATTTTTAGATTCTAAGTCTCTTCAGCTGGAGGTCTTTCATGGCTGTTTTCTGAATGCATCATGTACAAAGGCAGGCCCACAGGGGGGAGACATAAATCATTTAAGGAAAATTATTTCACTTGAGTTTCTTTCATATTTGGAAATAGATGGTAAAAGGGCAAAAAGCCTGTTATAGAGAAAAGACATCAAGTTACACAGGACTGATACTACATATGTGGTGGAATCTCCTAAATGTATTTAATAAGCGTTTCCTAAAATAAAATATTAAAGCCTTTCATGCATATTATATTATATACCATAACCCTGTAATCAATGGTGGGATTCAAATAATTTCACAACTGGTTCTCTGCCCTAATGACCAGCTGGGTGGGCATGGTTCGGTGGTCATGTGACCATGGAGGCGTGGCCAATTCAACATCACCCATGTCGATGGGCGCTTCGCCTTAGCTGTTACAATGTAATAAAGGTTAACCGGAGAGGCAGTTTCTGTAACCAGGGCAATAAAGATTAGNGAGAAACACTGTCCTAACCACTGCTGGGGAATTCTGGGAGTTGAAGTCCAGACATCTTCAAGTCGCCATGGTTGAGAAACACTGTCCTAGACACTCAAAGAATACAAGTGTGACGATGTATTTCTGGCTTATTTCGGGCTTTTTCCTCACAGGGCTCCCCTCCAGCTGAGCCGGGGATGATGGGCTTGGAAGTCCGCCCACCTCCCCCAACATGACTCTGAAGAGGCCTTATTGGAGCCACTTTCCCCCCCTCAGGAAGCTCTACCGGTTGGGTTTCCGCCTGCTGGACAGCGCTCCAGGCGCCCCCGGTTCCCTCCGTGGGGCAGAGCCGCCTAGAGAGAGAAGGGCCTAGAAGGGTGGGGGGGATTTGGAGCGACGCCCCCCCAATTTCGCCCCTTCAATCCTCACCGAGGACTTGGAGGCCTTTTCGGCGCCCTTTTCGGGACTGGCGGCAGCGCCTGTGACAAGGGAAACAGAAGGAAGAAGGGGAGGCTGGGCAGGAGGCCCGGGGGCCTCCTCAGCCCACCGGTTCCCTCAGCGGCACCGTTACCTTCCCGGCTTGCCATGGAAGACCGCGTCGCTGCTCCGCCGAGAAGCCAAAGAGACTGTTGCGCCCCCTGAGAGGAAAACTACAAGCCCCGAAAGGCCCCGCGGCACAGCAGCCAATGGCCGGTCAGCTTCCAAACAAACAACGCCTGACGTCACCGATGGTCGTAACGTCTCACCCAACCGCAGCTGGAGACGAGGGGGGCGGGGAGAGAGAAATTACAAACAACCCCACTTCCCTTCAGACTTTGCTCTCAGTTTGGGGGGGGGGGGCGACGTCGATGAAGTGTAAGCCGTGCCTTCCAAATTAGGGCCTCCCCAAAGCCCAAAAAAATAGAGACGAATTTAATCGATAAGTGACGCAAACGAGAGAAAGTGCTGAAGGGAAGCACCAAAACTTGAAAAAAAGACGCGAATGATACTCAAACGCCCTCATGCGCAGGACTCCACTTCCCATCATGCCTCGGGGAGGTGGGGAAATATGGCGTTTCCCGTCTTTTTTCTAAAGCGCAGGCGCGGAGGGACGGGGGGAGGCAGAATGACGGCAAGGAGCGTCACTACAACTCCCGGCATGCCTCTCTTCGCCTGATCAGACGTTCAGGCAGGGGAATCCCCAGGCCGCTGAAATTCCCCTTCATGGCATCCTCGGCCGGGTCGGCCGCTTGAGTTCCGTCGGTCCCCGGGGGCTTCTGGGCCCGGCCTCCGCGATGGCTCCGCTGCCCGTAGCGGGGGCGCTTGTGTAGGCCCATCCCGAGCCATGGCCTTCGTGCAGCCCGGCCAGGGCGGCCCCGGGGAGCCCAAGCAGAGGCTGGAGACGGGGGGCGAGGAGTGGTGCGACAGCGGCCTGGGCTCGCTCAGCGAAGGGCAGCTGGTCCAGCTCCAGGAGGATGGAGGCCTGGGGGTCCGTGGAGACTCCGAGGGGGGGTCTGGGGTCTGCCCAGTGACCTCTGACCCCAGAGCCCCCCAGAAGTCCTTGGAGGAGGAGGAGGAGGAGGAGGAAGAGGGGCGCCTGGACTCGGCCCTGGGGGGCGACGAGGGGGTGGGCGACCTGGTGGAAGGGGTGGGGGGCGTCCACCTCCAGAGCCAGGTGGCCCCCGAGGCTTGGCTGCGACACGTCCTGGGCTTCGTCACCGAGGATGGAGACACGTAGGTACCCCTATCTCTCGGGTGAGAGGCAACTGGGGGGGTCCCTGAAATTGAAAGTTTTTTGGGGGGTGGGCTCACCTGATGACCTGCTTAAGGACCAGCACAACTTAACCAGAACGTCCAGGCTCGGTGGCGATGCTAAGCCGAGAATTTAACTGCCTGTACAAGGTAGTCCTCGGTTTACGACCGCCATCGAGACCCAGATTTGGGCTGCTGAGCGAGATGTTGGCTGAGTGAGTTGTGCCCCCTCCCCCCCCTTTTTACGACCTTTTAAGGGAATCCCTGCGGTTGCTAAGATTATTTATTATTATTATTATTATTATTATT